TCGGTCTGGACAGAACCATCCAGAACATCTCTGACATCAGCCTCAGGATCAAATCGGTCTGGACAGAACCATCCAGAACATCTCTGACATCAGCCTCAGGATCAAAGACAAATTGATGGTAAATCTAACTTTTCCACAGAGGAGGAACCATTTTGGAGCTTCTGTGTGTAAACGTGTAGAAAGTCAGACTCTACGTTTCTGTTGTGTCCATGTTTGGATCTTAAACTCAGATCTAAAGTACTGTGCTCCGTTTATATCACATTAAAGTGCATCAGAACATCAGGCGGGTCATTTTATGGGCCTTTCAATAGTTCAAGAACCATTTTTTTCTTTGCTGCTCTTTTAAACCTCGAATCTGTTCATGTGATACGATGACGGCTGCTAAACGCTGAAGACCTGCAGAGCACAGAAACCAGCTGCACAGTGTCCGGCACATAAAACCTGCCAGTGGTGAGCAGGATTTTGGACCCAGTGCTCAGCGTCAAAGGTTTTTAGAAACTTAAGAACCATGAGAACGGACCGCGTCGGGCCTCCTGCTCCACACAGAAGCTGCAGGTAAAGATTCACTGTAAAGATCAATCAGATTTGAAGGGGAGCGACCTTTCTGTTTCCCCACAGGTCCTGAACGCATCATGACATTTTGCTCGTCCCCGTCCTCCGCGGTGAGACGCGTTCACGGGCGGGCCTGTGTGGACCAATGGCAGCGCGCGGTGGGCGGGACCAGGGCCGCTATAAGAGGCCCCGCGCCCCGCCGCCGCCCCGCTGCCCCGCACGACGCTCCGGACCCGCTTCAGACCCGCACCGAGCCCAGAACCGAGCCCAGAACCCGCAAACATGAGCCGCAAATTCTTCGTTGGAGGAAACTGGAAGATGAACGGAGACAAGAAGAGTCTCGGGGACCTGATCCAGACCATGAACGGGGCCAAGACGGACCCGAACGTCGGTACGTGGACCGTCTGAGTTCTGCTGCTTGGTTCTGCAGACCTGCTGCTCTGAGCCTTTTTGGGTTTTAGCCTCAGTGAGCCAACAGCTGGTTCTGGTTCCGGTTCTGGTTCTGCTCAGTGAAAGCTGCAGCAGATGATGGAGGCGCGTCATGTCGGTGCGCGCGCTCAGCAGCACGTAGTCCAGCAGCTGCTGGTGCGTTCAGGAGCCCCGGACAGCTCAGCAGCAGCCGGAGGTCGTAACAGGTGCATCAGCAGTGAGGTCGGGACAGAACCGGACTAAAACCCAAAAGAAAATAAGAACTAAACAGAACAAAAACCGCGTTCAGCTCCAAGGTCAGGGTTCGGCTCAGACCGGACTGGTTTGGAGGTGGCGGGGTTTCCAGCGGGCCCTGAACGCAGCAGCAGCTGGTTTCCAGCGGGTCAGTGAACGTCTCAGTTACACAACTCGACTGGCAGCTTCCGAGTCAGTGGTTCACAGGATCCGACTTGTTCTGCTCAGATTGGACCTCCAGGCTGCTGTTGGTGGAGTTTAGAGTGTTCTGGTCCAGATGTGAGTTCAGGCTCAGCTGGAATCCACTCCCACGGCTTCTCTGACTTGACAGCAGTGCTTCTAATAGTTTGAAAGCAGCGTGATGCGTTCAGGAGCGTCTCTGTTCAGTCCGTCCTCTGACCTTTGTTCTGTTAATGAATAAATGGAAACTCCCCTCAGCAGGTTATTTAGACTGCGACCCGCTGAACTCGACCCGCGACTCGACTCTGACCTCTGCAGAATGCGGCGACCTTTCCAACGCTGAACTCTGACCTTTAATGCAGCCGCAAACAAATGACCTTTACATCCCATAATGCCAGCTTGTGTTTAATATAGACTAAGATAGAGTTACACTGTGTTGGCTTTAGCGCACGCCGCCTGCACGCCCAACTCTCTAGAGTCCTGCTGAAAGTTTACAGTTTTTATTCTGCTGCTGCTTAACTGAAAACTGGACTCAGAACCACAGACTGGTTCTGAGTCCAGCTGTACTCTGATATTTTCTGGAAAAATGCAGGAATTTTCAGCTTTATTTGGAGGAATCATGTGTTCGAGTCAATCTGCAGAGAAAGTAAAAAGTTATTTTGAAAAGCTGAAGGAAGCCGTTTGGACCTCATCTGGTGTGACTCTGAACGCCCAGAACTGGTTTTTATCTTTGGATTCCTGCAGTTCTTCTGTGTTTCTGACGGGGTTGTTGATCAGATACAGAACCACTGAATGGTTTTGGTTCTACCTCCACAGAACTTCTTCTCACATCACTGAAAATCAGCCACAACATTAGAATCTGTTTTTAACGTCTGAAGTTCTACATGACTGAACAGATGCAGTTATTGATTATTGATCCGTCATCAATAAACTCTGCTGTCCTATGAAGCTGCATCTCCTCACTGATGTTCTGAAGGTTCTGGTGTACTGAAGCGGAGTGTTTCTGATCTCTAACAGAGGTGGTGTGCGGCGCTCCGTCCATCTACCTGGACTTCGCCAGGTCCAAACTGGACACCAAGTTCGGCGTAGCAGCCCAGAACTGCTACAAAGTTCCCAAAGGTGCCTTTACCGGAGAGATCAGGTACGTTCAGGTGAACTTATCAATGTCAGACGTGTTTATTATCAGGTTCTGATCCGTTTGTTTCTGATTGCGCAGCCCTGCGATGATCAAAGACTGTGGCGTGAACTGGGTCATTCTGGGTCACTCTGAGAGGCGTCATGTGTTCGGAGAGAGCGACGAGGTGAGTCTGTGCCAGTCACTCAAAGTGTAACAGGTAAAGTCCGTCCAACACGAGTTCAGCAACGTGTCTGCTCCTGCAGCTGATTGGTCAGAAGACGGCCCACGCCCTGGAAAGCGGTCTGGGCGTCATCGCCTGCATCGGAGAGAAGCTGGACGAGAGGGAGGGCGGCATCACAGAGAAGGTGGTGTTCGCTCAGACCAAGGTCATCGCAGGTATGAACTCCTCCATCCATCATCTCTACACCTTAAACCTCACCTGGGTCGCTGGGGGCGGAGCCTGTCCCAGCCGACTCAGGTGAAGGCAGCGGACGGCACTCGTCCACAACACAAATCTGAGAACGTGCAGAACACAAACTTAGTCTTATCACACCTTTCTTCACAGACAATGTAAAGGACTGGACCAAAGTGGTGCTCGCTTACGAACCCGTGTGGGCCATCGGGACCGGCAAAACCGCCTCCCCCCAGCAGGTAAACACCTGAAAACACCTATCAGCAGGTAAATATTAGGAGCGTGTCACTGACTGGATGATGACGGTGACTTTAAGCCTCGAGGTGCTGCACATTAAAGTAGAGGAGCTAAACCAGAAGGACTAAACAGCCCACGTATAAAATAAGACGTTAAGCACCGTCGATGCCGCAGTACAGCCGGCAACGAGCAGCGCCATGCAGACAGAACCAGAACCAGAACCAGAACCAAAGTTAGCAGAGTGAAACCAAACAGAGAAGCTGGATTCATACGGACTGGGTCAGAAGTAGTTTAAACATCACTAAATGGGAACCAGTACAGTCCAGTAAGAACTGAAGCGTCCAGTGAAGCAGCAGCAGCAGAGTTCAGCCTCCAGATGTTTTACTGATGATCAATAATCAGGCGTCTCATTGATCTCAGGCTCAGGAGGTTCATGAGAAGCTCAGGGATTGGCTGAAGACCAACGTGTCCGAGAGCGTCGCCAATTCTGTGAGGATCATCTACGGAGGTCAGTTCATCCATTCACTCATTCTGTCCATCACTGTCCATCTCCGTTCATCCTCTC